GTCTAGCCCTGAAATACACCCATAGATTTAATTATGGTGGGAGCCACAACTAAATTTAATTATTAGATAACTGAATATAATTATATATTATAAAATTGTATTTAAATATAATAATAATTTTAAAAAATAATAAATAAAATTCATTAAAATATATAATTAAATATAATGATAATAAAATATAAATATAAGTAAATTTAATTGTGTAGGGGGGACTGACTGCCCTGGTCTGGGACCCCTACAGGGAGTCACTTAAACTGGCCTGAAGGAAGAGGGAAGCAAAGGACCGGAGTTTCCAGCAGAAGAAAGGCAAGTGTGCAGCTCCCAGGTAAGGAGGAGCCTGTCTGAGACTAGAGAGGGATGAAGGAAGTCAGGTACCACTAGAAGTGTTTGCAGCCGCCCTGCCCCCACCTCACCCAGGCTTCCCGCTACTGGGACACCTGCTGGGCTGTCCTTAGGGTAGAATCTGGTCAGTGTGCTAATGCATCAAGTTCACAGGCAGCTCAAGGCGCTCTGGTGATCTGCATAATAAGGAGCTGAGGTGGAGGACAGGGTGCTTGCACCATCTGTGAAGACTGCCGGTTGCAGATGACCTGAGTGGCTTTTGAGAGGGATGGTAAAAAAAAAAAAATTGAAGTATAACATCTATGCAGGAGAGTCCTTTTTTCTTTCTTTCTTTTATTTTAACATTTATTTATTTAGCTTTGTTTTTCTATCCTTGAAAGCCCTCCCTCTTTTTCATATTCTGTAAGGACAGTAAAAATCTCAATTTCTTCCAACTGAAATTTCCTTAAGTCAACAAAGGGTGCAGAATGGGCCACCTGGGGCCCCATCACGGTAGAACCACAGGCAAAAAGGTGGGTGTGAGTGAGTCTGTGGGCAAAGGCAGGGGCTGGGGCTGGAGAGGTAGGTAGGACTGACTTGCTCGGCAACAAGAAGCGATTGTCTCCACTCAGGGCGGGGTCAGTCAAGGGTTCCTGGCAGAGCTGCATCATGGTCAAATCTGTCACGGGCAAAGTTCCAGAAGAGGGAGGGGCAGGGTGTGCGGGACCAAGGCACAGCACCGGGCGGCGGGGGCAGAGGCAGAGGCAGAGGCAAGCAGGGTGGCGTGAGCTCGTGCACTTCACCCTGGAGGCCAGAGAAAGCCAGCTCAACTTTCCGCCCCAACCCTCGACCTTGGAGAGTCTGCAGAAGGCTGGTGTGCTGCCCTCCAGAAAAACACAAACCACACAGCAAGCTTTGCATCTGTGTTCGGGGAGATGGAGGGAGGGACTGTCACAGAGCTCGGAAGCTGCAGCAATAAATGGTGGTGCAGCAGGGACCCTCTTAGGAGGGTCTGGGTGTCATCCGACCGCCCTGCATCACCTGTCACAGCCGCCACCGGACTGAGCTGAGTCAGTGGGCCTGGGCGGGCAGCAGGCCAGGGAAGCAGGGCTCTGCTTGTGCTCAGCCAGCCCCAACATCCTCCATCCATCAGCCCAGGAGGACCCCTTCTCTCCCCCCTGCCAACCACCGTCCTTAAGGATTGCCCCGGGGAGAGGGGCAGGGTGTAGCTGTGGTGGAGCGCAGGCTTAGCATGCACAAGGTCCTGGGCTCATTCCTTAGTACCGCCTCCAAAAATAAATAAACATAATAACCCCCCCAAAATAAATAATAATACAATTAAAAAAAAAAAGATTGCCCCAACTTTACCTTTAACCCAACCACAGACATTCAGTTGGCCTCAGGCCCCTCCCCTAGGAGCTTTGTGGGCCTCTTAACTTGACCACCTGCTCGGATGAAAATATCCTGAGGACCCCTTCGTTCTCCCTTACCCCTCACAGGACTTGTTCCCCACTCCCCGCTCTCCCCTCCCCGTCCCCTCCTGCCCACGTGGCCCTAGGTCAGGGTCAGAAAGTTCTCCCTTCCCTCTTCCTCCCCAGCCCCTTCCACTTGCCACGATGGATTCCCATTCTCTCGGGAGCAGAAGCCCTGTCTTCTCAGAGTGCTCCTGGCTTTTCCCACCTTTCCCCCCATCTCCCTGGCTTAGGGGCCCTGGCTGTCCTGTGGCGACCCCATACCGCTCCCCACTTCTCTGCTTTCCTTCTTTTTATCTTTTTATCCGTATTGACAGATTTTTTTTAATTTTAAAAATAATGAATGCTTGTCATGTGAAAGTCCCAAAAGTATAGAAATGAAAAGCTACGCTGCTTCTTTCTGCCTGGTCTCACCTTCCCGTGAGACCCCTCATGGTTTGGGCCTCTTGGTGGCCATGTGGTGAACCCCCTGATGTTGTGGTTTTATCTCTAAATCAGAGTTCCTCACTGAAAGGAAGAGAAACCAAACCTAGGTACTTTAGGCTGAAAAATAATTTCTTCAAAATCGTCCTGTAGCTGACCACAATTCCGGGAGGACCTGAGAACCAACCAGGAGCAATGTCCCAAAGGCCACGGCCAACCTGGCCTAGTTGGAGGCACCTCTGGGCCGACACCACTGATCCCGGCTCTGGGTGGTACCGCTGGGCTCTCCACCTTCCTGGCCTCTGGAAGCAGGATTTAGCTGTCACCCCTTCCCCAGGGTGGATTCCTCTTGGTGCCCGCTTTGGATACAAAGCCCAGCATGGGGGCATCCTACTGGCAGAATGCCTGCACCCCAGCTGCCATGAAGGCTGGGAGGGCCTCATCTGGCTTCTGGATGGAGGCAAGGATTCAGACGGTGGAGATGGCCCCAAACGCAGGAAGTGCTCGACGCCAGCAGAAGAGGGTGACATCCCCTCCTGCCTTGAGGGGTCCAGCCCCACCTCAGCAGCTCTGGCTCCACGGTCCACAATCTCCCCCCTCTGAGACCTCTAGCCTCAGCCTGCTTCCCTGCTTCCCTGTCCTCCTTCAGGTCCTCAGAAACCACCCACCTCCTGCTCACAAGGCTTCCCACTTCACTCACACCAGGGACCGCAGCCAGCCTTCGCCACCTTCCCCATCCGCTGGCAACAGCTCTACCAACAGGGGTTCCGCCTCCTCAGGAGGAGCTGCAGTTTACTGTGCGCGCACTGTGTTTCCTGGGTACCATCCCATTCAGCCCTCAGAAGCGCCTCCACCACTGGGAATGCCTTGTTCGCATCCCTGTTTACACAGGAGGAAACTGCAGCCCAGAGGGACTGAACATCTCCTTGGGTCTGCCCTCTCCGTCACTAGGAGCGGCCCCCTGGGGGCAGGGCCTGGGTCACGGTTTTTTTCTCTGCTGGCGACCCCTGTGTTCCCTATGAGCTAAAGGCTATGTGATTCTAAAGATGTCCTGGGGGTCGCATCTTCTCAGACTTTCTCAAACTTGGCTTATCAAAAGATGATTCAGGATGCTGGTTTAAAATAACATCGAGCCCCAGTTCCCTCCTGGAACATTCAATTCTTGAGATCTCAGGGAAGGTCTGGGAATCTAAGACATCCACAAGCCCTCCAGGGATTCTTGTGATCAGCAAATGGGGGGGGGGGCACTGCTCTAGGGAGCTGTTTGTTTTCTCAGGGTGGGTTTAGATTATGCTGGGCCCGAAAATTTCGGCCTGTTCTCATTGGAGAGCTGAGATCCGGAAAATGTGGAGAATGGCTGTCGGTTGTAGAAGGACCGCAAAACTGGCCCTCAGTTGCTGCCAGACCATGGGGCCCAGGGAACCTTCAAAGTGTGAGTTGCTAGCAATTCCATATCTAGGAATTCATCCCAAGGGAGTAGCTATGGTTGTTCCCAAAGCAACCCCGTTCCAGAGATGGAGCAAGAGGTTGTCCGAATCTGCCTGTGCGATCAGGAAGAAGCAGAGTGCTGCAGGGCTGGCTGGGCTGAAACAAAGCCATGGGGCAGACTCCTTCCATCCCCTCCTCCCTGGTGTGCCCGGAGCAGTGCCCCCACCCAGAAGGCATGGATCCCCTCCTCTGCCTGGGGCTCCTTCCCCCACCCAGGCCCTGGCGTTTGCCTATGCAAAGCCCTGAACAGAAGGAGGAGGTGTCAGAGGCAAGGGCAGTATGACTGGGAGCCTACTCAGTTTGGGGTTTGCTGTGGGGTGGTGTCAGAGCTTCCCGCTGACTCTCACCTGCAGACTCTGGTCCCAGAGGAGGTCCCCTTGGTGGGGGAACTTGCCCCTGCCTTATGGTTCAAATGTGGAACAAAGGTAACCGGGGGAGTGGAAGTCAGGACCCTTGTCCCTGACTCCAGGCTTCCCGGATTGTTCCTTTGTTTTTGTTTACACAGTTTTTCCCACTATACCAAATGGGCCCCCCTCAAGCCACCCCAGTGACTTTTCAGAGAGTCTTAAGTGCCGTTTTGCCTGCCAGTCCCAGGAATCATCTGATCTTCCTCTCTGAAGTCGGTGGCCAGCTCCAACCCTGGGCTCTCCTCCCCAGTGCCCCGAGTCTCATGGTCTCCAAAGATGCAAGCACTTGGCCTTCATTTCTCCTTTGTGCCGACTGCCAGGACATCACCAAAGTAATAACCACAGGAAAATTACAGTGCCCTTGAAAGTTCTATAAATTCATGATCGTTATCTGTGTTCCCTCATTCCCTGGTCTGAACAGAGTCAGATACCAGATACCAGTCAGACACCCTACTTTTCGCCTCAATACCTCTCAGAAGCCAGAGTTCCAAAATTCACTCGGGTAGCAGAGCACCAGGAAGCCGAGGGCTCCTAAGGAAGCCTGTGATTACTGATGTTCTAATTTCATCACAGGAAAGGAGGGTCAGGACTCAATCCCCAGTGAGGTACAGGATGCTCAGTGTTTAGAGCAAAGGCTCTGGGTTGGGCAAACCTTGGATTGAATCCCACCTCCAACACTTAACTAATTGTATGACCTTGGGAAGGTCACTCAGTTTCTCAGAGCCTCAGTGCTATGGACTGAGTTACATACCCCACCATCCCCCAAATTCACACGTTGAAGCCCCAACCCCGCAATGTGACCGTATTTGGAGACAGGGCCTTTAGGGAGGTAATTAGGGTTAAATGAGGTCATAAGGGTGGGGCCCTGATTCAATAGGGCTGGTGTCCTTATAAGAAGAGATCAGAGATCTCTCTCTCTCTCCCCAGAATGCTCTCTCTCTCTGCATGCACAGAGGAAAGGTCGTGTGAGGATACAGCGGGAAGCTGACTGCAAGCCAGCAAGAGAGCCCTCGCCAAAAGCCAGCCCTGACAGCACCTTGATCTCGGCTTCTAGTCTCCAGAACAGTGAGAAAATAAATTTCTGTTGTTGAAGCCACCCAGTCTGTGGAATTCTGTGACGGCTGCCCGAGGTGACTAATACGCTCATTTTCCTCATCTGAAAAGCAGGGATAAAATTAGGACTTGCATCATGAGGCTATTGTGAGAATCCAGTGAGGAAATGCGTGTGTAATGCCTGCCTGTTTAGTTTTCCTACAGCATCTTCAGCACCTGGAACAGTGCCTGGTGGATAGTGGATGTTCAATTAATACCTACTGAATGAAGAACTACATCCATCACAAAGCGAGCTGTCAAACCGCATGCAAGTGCATCTATCTGAGCTTTTCACCAGCCTCCACCTCCTTGATCATCGATCACCACTCACCAGCAAATGACAGCAGGCACAAAGGGTTTAAGAAAAGTGTCTGCAGGGATAGTCTCCTGGTTTTAATGGGATGTGCCAGGAATGCCATGTCTTCTGTGAACGGGGAAGGGGCTTGGTCTGGCTGATCCCCAGTAGAGTCTGAGTCTTTGGGAGGAGAGGGTATTAATCAGGAAGCTTTGGAGCCCTGGTCCAGCTTTGCGGGCCTGGGCAGGGAAGAGAGAGCTCTTCTTCCCATGGGGTGGGGGGTGTGCGTCGTGGGGCAGATGCAGCTGTGGGAGGCGATGTGGGGGAGGCTGGGGGGAGCTGTGGCTGGGTCCTGGGAGTGGTGCAGGCAAAGCTGGTCTGGGGTTGGAGGCCACAGCAGGCCCACCTTCCTGGTGTGCTTGTGAAATGCAAATGATGAGAACAATAGGGCCCTGTCCCCAGGCCATTTGTGGCAGAACCTGGACTCCCAAGGAGGCACAGCTTTCTCACCTTGGCCATGGTGAGACTTGGTCCTAGGGAAGCCCCAGGTGCATGTACCGGCCCACCCCTGGGGGCCCAGGACTCTGGGCAGGGAGGGTCATTCCCACTTCACTGACCAGACCCTTACTCCCCTCCCTGACTCTTCCCAGGAAAAGCTCAGCAGAAGCAAGCCCAGGTGAGTCCTCGGTCCCCTCCCTTACCTCGCCCTCCTATCTTGTTCCCACCTCACTGCCCCTTTCCAGGGCACAGCCATCCTTAGAGCAGGCCTTCCACACCCAGTGAGGCCATCCATGGACCTCCACCCCCTGGGAACACTAGGGCTCTCCCACTGCCAGCTTCCCTGGGGCACCAACTCTGCTGTCTGTGCACCCCGGGCACTAGCTCTGCCCGCAGACGCTTCCTCCTGCCGCCCTGGTCCCCGGCTGCTATCACATAACTCCAGGGGGCGCTATTTCACACTGCCATGGATGTGAGTGTCCTAGGGTTGTGCAGGGTCTGGAGGACACAAAATCACAGCCCCCTGGGCAGAGCTGATTAGAGTCTGATTGCAGGTTGGGGCCACCCCTTCCACCCCCGAGGTGTGCAGGTAAGTGTCCCAGAGAGTCTCCCCTGAGGGCTCTGGACACCTCCTGCCCATCACTGACCAGCACTGCTAAGTCCCTGGAGCTCTTCTACCTGTCTTGGTCAGAATTAGGGATGCCTGGGGTGGGGGACTGGCATGGGGGGGACAGGCTGCGAGGCCCCCTTATTTCCAAAATGCCTACCTCACTGGCCCTGCTGCAGTGTTGGAAGGGCCCATCATGAACGGTTCCTTTGAGTTGAATGAAGCATTGAGGCCACTGCAAAAGTGCAGGTGGTTTTTTATATTGGGGGGAGAGAGAAAGTCATTGTGCTAGGCAGGGGCTGGGCTGGGAAGAGATGAGGCAGTCTTACCAGCCTCCTGTCCAGACTCCCCACCTTGGAGAAGAGACGCCCCCCGCCCAGCTCCTCTGCCTGCCCCAGGGACCTGGAGACGCCAGGTAAGTCCAGCTGCTGAGCTGGGCGTGGGGTCGGGGAGGCAGCGGCCACCACTGCTCCTGCACCTCCTCCATCCTCCCTATGCTCAGCATCCCTTCCTGGAAGCCCAGGAGGAGAAGGACGAGGAGGAGGATAAATATGAGCTGCCCCCCTGTGAGGCTCTGCCCCTGCGCCTAGCTCCCGCACACCTTCCTGGCACTGAGGAGGACTCTTTGTACTTGGGTAAGGGCTGGGAGGTTGAGGCAAGGAGGCTGGGTGGTCAGGCAGGACAGGAGGGTCCGCACAAGGGAAGAGGGCCAGGCCTTGCCTATTTGTCTGTCTGGCCTGGGGCAGCGAGGGGAGGCCTCAGCTGGCAGTCACTGAGGCCTCTTGGCTGGGCAGAGAGAGAGGGATGGCGGGAGGGAGGGAGGAGGGGAGAAGGGAAGGAGGAAGAGTGGGAAGGAGAGGGGCCTGGAGGGGCAGTGTAACCAAGGCAACAGTAGGGAAAGCAGGAGGCCTGACAGGGTCTCCTGGGCCTGGCATTCCCCCTCTGAGATCCCGGCACATCCTGGAGCAAGGGTAGGGGTGCCGAGAGAGCCCCAGCTGCTGCTGGCACCCCACCCCCACAGCTCGGGGCTGGGCCAGGTGGGGGCAGGGAAGCTGTCCGCCTCCAGTTGCCATGGATACACGGCTGTCGGGAAGCCAGAGAGCAGGAAGGGGAATGAGGGAGGAGGGAATAGAGGCTGGGGGGTGGGGGGGGAATGGGAACCCAACCTACGTGGGAGGAACCCACCGAGTCACAATGCTTGGGGTCTTTTCCAGATCACTCTGGCCCCCTGGGTCCACCCACGTCATCACCACCACCACCACCGCAGCCCCAGCCTGAGATGGTGAACAGCCTCCCCACCCACCCCACCCCAGGCTCCCACTTCCCAGTGAGTAAATCTAAGAGGCATCTCATTTGCGAGATTCCCCTACGTCTGCATTCAAGAGGCCCCTGAAAAATTAGCTGCGTCAGAAGCCGGTTAACAGTCGCTCCTCCCACCTGCCTGGCCTGGTCCTTTTCCCCCCACCATCAGCATCGCCCTGGACTCGCCCTTCTCGCCTGAGCCAGGAGAAGGGAGTGCGGGGTGGGGGGTGAGGGGGTGAAGCTCAGCCACCCCTCCAGGCCCCTGAGGCCCCAGGAAACCCTCTCAGCCTACGGACTGAAGAAATCCTTCACTCAGCTGCCAATCACTGCCAGCGCTCATTCCTGCCGTGAGCCCGCTGTGGGCTTTGAAAGCTACTGCTTTCATCATATGTTTTATGGGAATAAAAAGAAAAACCAGGGGAGATGCATAACAACAACAACAAAAGAGCCACAGCATAGAAGCAAAGGAGAGAATCACCTCCTTTGTGCATTAATGCTTGTCACAGTGTTTTTAAAGCTGCACAGATCCCACCCCACCATCCTTGCCCTCCCGATGGCACAGTGTCCCTCAGCACCCCCCACCCTATTCTCCTGCTTCGTGCCCACAGCTGAAGGCAGCACCGTGCCTGCAGGAGGCGGGGAAGCAGGGCCGGCCCTTTGGGAGGCGAGGTAATGGGGATGTTCTGGCCCACTCAGGCCTCGCCCTGAGAAAGGGAATCTTGGCCCCCATGGAGGGAGGCGGGGAGAGTGGAACTGGCCTTACACTGGTCTCATGCTTTGCCTGGTGACTGTGTCCCCCACCCCTACCTGTTCCTCATTTTTACCTGCCGGTCCCCCTAAGGCAGGCAGTTCAGGAGGAGACTGAGGCCCAGATGCATTCAATGCTTTGCCTGAGATCACAGAGTCCCTGACTCCCAGGCCGGTTCTGCACCTGCTGTGGTCTCTGGGTCGGGAGACGGGCACCCTGGGGGTGTGAAGTGAGGCCACTGAGGGTGAGAATGGTTTACACCTGGGACTTCAAAGCTGGCTCCGAGGAGCCCCTCAGAGAAGTTCCAAGGACCCACCGCCCTTCCAGCCGAGGCTTCACTGAGCCCCTCTCCCTGCTGCTCCTGACCGGTGGGTCTTTTCCTTCCAGGGCTGGACGCACGGACCCACGCGGTGAGTGCCCCTCACGCTAGGATGCTGGCTAGGAAGTTGGCAGGGATGGGTGAGAGGTGTGGGAGGGCCAGGAAATATCCCTAAAACCCAGGGAAAAGGCCCAGAGCAGAGCCCCTCCCCCTCTGTCACAGGCCCCTGGCTCGGCGGCCCCCAGTGTCTCCTGGGGAGGGCCCCACGCTGGAGGAGGGGGTGCTCACGGGCACCCCCTTCCTGGTAAAGGGGCAATTTCAATCATTCCGCGTCCACCTGGTGTGGGGGGTGAGATGCCAACGGCTCCCCCAAGTGATGGCTCCGTCCTTCCTCCCCTTCACCGGTCAAACACTGGGTCCCCCACATCCCTCCATCCCTTAGGTTTCCGGCCCTCCACAGAAGCCCGATGAGGGCATCTACCTGGAGTGTGAGCCCAGTCCAGGTGAACACCTCCCTCCGCCCTGCTCCATCCTGCCTTGAGGCCCTGGGCTGCTCCCCCGCAGCACAGCACACTCTCCTGGATCCATCTTCTCCCCTGTCCTCTCTCAGCATCCCCACAACACGCATCTGCCTTCAGACACCCACATGGACACCCACGCTGCCGCCTCTGGTCCAGGTTGACCCACACTGTGCCCCAGAGGGAGGGGGCCCCCTCAGAACAAGGGCCGTGGGGAGCTTCCTAGCTGTTGCAGCCAGGCCAACACTCTCCCTGGTTGGGAAGACTCCCCAAAGGCCAAGCTGCAGAGAAGCAGAGGCCAGCAGCTGTCCCCAGCCCCACCCTGGATTTCCCTGCCTGGTGCCCAGCCCAGCCTAACCACTCTGTTTTAGTCCTGGCTTTGACTCAGACTCTGAACTCCCAAGCCCTGAGGCCCCCAGTCCCTCTACCAAGGACATCAGTGGGGCCCAGGTGAGCACCCCACCAGGTGTGTGTACGTGTATGTGGGGGTGATGGCCAATCCAAGCTTCTCAAAGTTCACTGGGCTCTTTCTTTTGGGAGATAAAGACCCTGATCTCTGTTCCCCAATTTGCTCCCCACAGGCCCACCATAGCCCACCAGGAAGCTCAGAATGTAAGAGGCTGGGCATAGGGGCAGGGGAGGTGAGCTGGGAGGGAGGGAGAGAGCAAGGGAGTCTCAGGGTAGGGCTTCTGGCCCAAAGGAGCAGGCCGGCAGTGCCAGGCTCTTCTGACTCCACATCCTGTGTCCCAGGGAGCGTGGAATGCCACCTCTGAAGGTGAGTACAGCACAAACCCAGACAGTCACGCAGGGCCCTCCCAGTCACGGCCCTGCAGGCCACAGACTGACTCCCAGCCTCTACCCTGCCTCCCAGTTTGCTGGGGGGGGGGTCCCTGCAGCTGACTCCAGCTGAGGGCAGGCCTGAGGGGACCCCCTTGGGCATTTTCTAGGGTCTGCACCAAAGCAGGAAGCTCCCAGCCTGTACCTTAAGGTCATTCCTCATTCGGAGGCCACACACGGCCTAGCTGGTGGGTCCTACTGGAGCCCTCGGAGAGGAGGGGGGAGGTACTGGGTGTCCCGCTGTGGGCTTCAGACCTTTGGGTACCCCCCGGGACCTCGCCACCCTCACAGCTGGCCCCGAAGCCTCCTTGGCCTGATCCCCTCCTAGCCCCAGCACTATAATCTGCTTCTTCCCCCAGGAAGGAGAGCCTCTCTTTCCTCTGGAGCGGTCACCCAGAACACCTCAGCTGCTGAGGTGAGGAGGGGCTGGGAAAGGGCTGGTGGGGGAGGCCCGGGGAGCCCTCCTGGGCTGGGGTCACCGTTGGACGCACTGGGCACCAGGTAGGGGAAGGTCGACATGAGCACAAATGACTGCAGCCCAGCGTTCTCCGTCCTCCCCCCTCCTGTGCCCTGGCACATCTGGGAGTGGCTGTGTGTGTTTGTACAGACAGGCAGTCTGCTGGGCCAGCCCTGGTACTCAGAGAACTGTGACCGCCATGCAGTTGAGAGCGCCCTGCTCCGACTCCAAAAGGTGGGCAACCACAGACCCCCTGGGCCTTGTTGGAAACCCCTCCTGCTCCTGGGCTGCGGCTGGGCTGAGCGGGCGGGAGCGGCCACTCAGGGGTGGAGTCAGGGCCGCTGCTGGAGAAGGAGGTTGACGGAAGGGCTCTTCTTTGCAGGACGGGGCCTACACCGTGCGCCCCAGCTCAGGCCCTCATGGCTCCCAGCCCTTCACCCTGGCTGTGCTTCTCCACGGCCGGGTCTTCAACATTCCCATCCGGCGGCCGGATGGCGGGCGCCACTATGCCTTGGGCCGGGAAGGCAGGAACCGAGAGGAGGTGGGTGATGGAGGAGGTAGCGGGTTAAAGGGCGAGGAACAGCAGAGCAGTCCCTGGGCCCAGCCAGGAGCATTTGCCTAGGGGAAAACTCCACATTTTGTGTTTTTCTGGAGTGGGTGGAAATCTCAGTGGCCAGTGTCCTGAGTTCCTTCCCAGAAGCCTGCACTTTGAGAAGAGGCCCATCCTGCTCTGGGGGGAATCACCCCCCCCAACCCCCCAGCATGGCTCAGTCTGCACAGGGCCCTGCTGGGGGCATGTGTACCTGTAATGGACCTAGCTGGGAGGAGGGCAGGGTCCAGGTACTCCAGACACCTATTTGTACCAAGGACTCAACTTTGCACCCAGCGCTTGCTAGGCTGCCAACTAGAGACGGTCACCATGCAGCTCCCCACAGCAGAGGACCAGGGCAGAGGCACGGGCCCAAAGTTACTGCATCTGACCTGGGTCATAGGAGTCTGGCCAAGAGCATGCCTATGGAGGAAGTCCCAGGAAAGGCCTGGAACTGAGCAGTAAAAAGGCAGTGGAACTTCGTGGGGGCAAACAGGAAGGAAAATATTTAGAAAAATGTCAACAAGCCCCCTCGCCACAGCCCCTCGGTTCCCTCGGGAGGTGTCTCCCAGCATGAGGCTCAAGGGACTCACTGACGCCCTGCCTCCCTGTCCAGCTCTTCTCCTCTGTGGCTGCCATGGTCCAGCACTACGCGGAGCACCCCCTGCCGCTCGTGGACAGACACAGCGGCAGCCGGCAGCTCACCTGTCTGCTCTTCCCCACTAAGCCGTGATGCCACAGTGGATGTGCACACCCACCTCTGGCCCGACTTTGCTCCTTGGGCTGTCTCCCTCTCTCCTCTCCCAGGTCTCCACCCCTCCAGCCCAACCCCCATCCTGTGCCCCAGTCCCTGCAGGGCCCCCTGAGAGGCACTGGGAAAGGTTGCCCAGAGGCAGAAAGGGTCCCCAAGACCACACACCCCATGCTCACGCAGACCCTGGCACTGCCACCTCTTGCTGCATCTCCAAGACTGGGAGGGAGGGGACAGGCAGGACCCCCAGTCCTGGCCCCCAGACATGGCCTCCCCAGCTGCTCAGAATGATGGCTTCTGTGGGAAGCTGAGCCTCAGGGGGTTAGCACAGGCACTGCTTGGACGCAGAGAGAATCTTCTCACATTCCGCCTGGGGCTTAACACAGGGCTGGCATCCCAGAGGGACTTGGTCACCCCGCACATCGCTTGCTTTCAATAAATATTTGTTGAGTGCATCCTTGAATTCTGCTGAGCAAAGGAGAGATGGCCTCTATGAGGTGCCAAGGTTCTCGAATGTCCCAGGGCACAGCCTGGGCCTGGGAGTGATAGAGGTCAGGTCAGGCCAGGCCAGAAGGGCGGCCCCATTTTGGCCCCTGGGCTGGGGCTTTGGCCCTTAGATGGTCTGTGCGGGCCCCCTGGGTGGCTGAGTTTTGTTTCATTGTTTTGTTGGGGGGTGGGTTCAGGGAGGGGGAGGAGAGAGGTTCAGTGCTGCTCAACCACCCCATTAAATGATCAGAATAAAGTTCAGGACTTGTCTACCACCCATTTACCGCACAGCGTTCCACCGGGGAGGGATGAGCCTGATTTTGCGTGCTTGGGTGTGGTCTGGGGTAGGGGAGACGGGCGGACTCCAGGAAAGATCTGGGTATTGGACACGCCAGTTCCGGGATCAAAAGCCCCACGTGGAGTTCAGAGAAGACCATCGGG